TTTCAAACGCATATTCTTCTAACCTGTAGGAACCTGAATGACTATAATCTTGTCAGTTTGAGGTCATGCATAGGTTAACGTCACCTCAAGATCGTAAGAAGATAGGTCCAAGGTTTTAAGGAATATATTACCTTGAAATTTTCGAAGCTCAATTCAAGAACAATTTTTCTCAGGGTTACATATACCTAACTTTATTAAACTGAGTGACCATAATCATGTTATTTTGAAGCCACTTTTAGATAAACTTCATTCATAAGTCAGGGCAATTACATTCTCAAAGATAGGGCTACTTGATAAGGATAGGTTCTGTTAGTTTAGGTTGGGTTAGGTTAGGCTTGGTTAGGTTAGTTTAGCCTAAATGACATTGGCGGTTGGTAGGTTGGGTTATGTTTGTTTCGAAGGCCAGGATGGGCTTCAGTGGTCGAAAGTACCGAAACACCCCAATGCGCCGATTGAGTCTAAATGGGCCAGAAGGCCTAAAATGTCTAAAGGACCTAAATGGTCAAAATGGCCTGATTGGCCTTTAGAGCCTAAATTGTCCTGAGGGCCTAAATGAGCCAGAGGGCCTAAAATGTCCAAAGGGCCTAAATGACAGAGCCAAAATGGACATAGGGCCAAAATTGTCCAGAGAGCCTAACTGGTCTAAGTTGTTAAACTTCCAAAAGGGACTAAATGGCCCATGTGGCCTAAATAACCCATAGGGCCTAAATTGTCTAAAGGGCCTAAATGTCCCAGAGGGCCTAAATTGTCGAGAGGGCCTAAATATTCAAAAGGTCCTAAATGGCCTATAGGGCCTAAATTGTTCAGAGAGCCTAAATGGGTCAAAACGCCTAAAATGTCCGAAGGGTCTAAATGGCAGAGACAGCCTAAATAGCACATAGGGCCTAAATTGTCCAAAGGACCTAACAAGCTCAAAAGTGCTAAATTACTAAAAGGGCCTAAATGGTCCAGAAGGCCTAAATGGCCAATGGGGCCTAAATAGCCCATAGGGCATAAGTTGTCTAAAGGGCCTAAATGTCCTAAATTTCCAAAAGCTCATAAATGACCTGAGGGTCTAAATTGTCCGAAGCGCCTAACTTGCCAACATGGCCTATGTAGCCGAAAGGGACGAAATGACCAAAAACGCCAGTTTTGTAAATTTAAGTTATGGTAGGTTTCGTTAAGTTTGGTTAGATTAGGTTAGGATGGGTTAGGTTATGTTGGGTTAGGTTGAGTCACATTAGGTTAGGTTGGGGTAAGTCATGCTAGGGTAGGTTGCATTGGGTTAAGTTAGATTATTTTTGACTAGTTTAGGTCAGGTCAGATCAGTATGTGTTGGATTAGGTTAGGTTATGTGCCAGACAGATTTCTTTAAAATTCTGAAGGTCATATATTTTCACGCTTATTTCTGCCAAAATGTAAATACCTGCTCGACCATACTCATGTCAATATGAGGTCATGTAAAGGCCAAGGTCATATGGACCTCACGACAAAATCGGCCCACTAGTTTTCCAGATACAGGTATTTAAAGTTCTCAAGGTCATATCTTTTCACGCTTATTTCTGCCAATCCGTAAATTCCTGGTTGACCATTCTCATGTCAAAATGAGGCCACGTATAGGTGAAGGTCATATGGACGTCACAATTAGATCGGCACAATAGTTTGCCAGATACAGGTCTTTAAAATTCTCAAGGTCATATTTTTCTCGCTTATTTCTGCCAAACCGTAAATACCTGCTCGACCATACTCATGTCAATATGAGGTCATGTAAAGGCCAAGGTCATATGGACCTCACGACAAAATCGGCCCACTAGTTTCCCAGATAGGGGTCTTTGATATTCTCAAGGTAATAGTTTACTCGCTTTTTTCTGCCAAACGGTAAGTACGAGGTTGACCATACTTATGTCAAAATGAGGTCACATATTGGTTAAGGTCATACCGAAGTCACGTCAAATTCGGCCCAATATTTCCAGATACAGGTCTTTAAATTTATCAAGGTCATATTCTTTCTCGCTTATTTCTGCCAAACCGGAAATTCCTGGATGACCATACTCGTGTCAAAATGAGGTCATGCAAAGGTCAAGGTCATATGGACCTCACGATAAAATCGGCACACTAGTTTCCCAGATACGGGTCTTTATAGTTCTCAAGGTCATATCTTTTCACGCTTATTTCTGCCAATCGGTAAATACCTGGTTGACCATACTCATGCCAAAATGAGGCCACGTATAGGTGAAGGTCATATGGACGTTACAACTATATCGGCCCAATGGTTTTCCTGATATAGGTTTTTAAAATTCTGAAGGTCATATCTTCTCACGCTTATTTCCCAAAAACCGTTAATACCTGGTTGACTATACTCATGTTAAAATGATGTCATGGCTAGGTCAAGGTCATGTCAAGACCACGACAAGATCACGCAAACTGAGAATAAGTGACCTCAAAATGTTCAAGATCATTCGAACTACTATTTTCTCAAGCATATACATAGAGAACTGTATGAATCTGAGTGACATTGCACACATCATTTAGAGGTCATGGATATGTCACAATACATACTCAGTGCCTAAATTGTGTTGGGATACATTACGTTAGGTTAGGTTTGGTTAGGTTAGGTTGGGTTAAGTTAGGTTGGTGAATATGTTGCATCACTGGCAAAGTAGAGCAAATCAGATATCGTGTTTACACATCTAGACTTTGGGAGGATTAGGAGGTGTGGGAGGTGGTGTTGCGAATGTTCAACCTAGCATACAGCACACTGTTCGATCAGATTTTAAACAAAGAGTTCGTTTTTGTGGTGCGATGAACAATGTGCGTAGCTGCTGGAAAAAATGTATCTTTTCTAGAGACTAATGGTGATGTTTGTACTGGATTACCTGTCGTCATCCCACCTGATATCGTCTGCTAAACAGCTAACTCATTTGTTGTCTTATCCTATAAATGCACCCTGAAATCAGGAGATTTTCCTGCCGTTGAGCTAATTCGTTAAAAGTTATAATCGAGCCCACTCAAGCCAACCTGCAACCACCTGTGGATAAAAGTGAGAAACTGCTATGGCTGACTTTGACGATCTGTAGGAGACGAGTGGGTCACTCACGCTAGTTAGCAAAAACTTACAAATACTGCTAATTTTTATTTCCTGTATAAGTTATTTCGTCTGAATTAATACACCCGTTATTAACATTCCACGTTATCTTAGAGCTGTAGGACCACATTCCTATTCAAAGCTGAAATGCCGGGATGAGGCGAACTTTTAAAATCGGTTACGTAACATTTTATTGAAAGCAGAGCCTGCTTGTGCTTACAGGGTTGTTGTCTACTGGAGTTTGAAAGGGATTTGTAATTATTTCATGTTTCAAGATTCAAAGTGGAACATCTTTCTGGGATTTAATACAAGGTCCTTTAGAATTAAACAGGTAATGCGCCACAGTGATGACTCCCCTTTCTTGGCAAAAATGGGGCTGAATATGGAATCTGAAACTTAATGGGTAACGAATAGGATGTTGAATGGAAAAGTTACGATTTGATTTACACATGTCTTCTTCTGAAATACTCATATTCCATGTAGTATTTGCTTTACTTGTTGTAATAGGCATTCAAATTATATACAATTGAATTATCGAGGGAATTTTATTTCCGCTTCACTAAGTAAACAAACAACAGTTTGCATATTCAGACGCACAGTTATTTTTTTTTTTCAAGTCCGTGATTTGTTGACAGTAGCTAATTATGACTTCCCTATTTGTTCCTGGTACAAGCGAACTAGCAGGACATCTCAAGGACTATCGTGATTGTCAGTCCGAAGATCTGTACCTGTATAAGACAGCTAAGCAATACTTTTTTTTGTAGTGTTCTGTCTGACGACAGGTCCATATGAACAGGATCCTTCCATCCTTTTCTCGGACTGGGACCTGTTCATATACGTTCTTGGCAGATGATCCAGAAGTGGTTTGCCATTGCCTTCTTCTGTGTGTGAATGGAGTAATTGTTGGGATGCCACGGAGAAACCGGGGAAGCCCCCGGAGGAAAACTCCGTGTTGCCTAGACCACGGCCTTGCCCAACACAAGTTATAAATTCGGGCACCGCCGGGAATCGAACCCGAGACCCCAGGATTACAAGGCCAGCGTTCTAACCGCTAGACCACCACATAAAATAACATTTGTATGAGAATACGCAAGTATAAATAAAATTCCAGACCTTTAGGATATACTGAAAACGTAAGACATTTCTGTTGATACAGCTCACTATGTAATAGTAAAGAATTGAATGAATTGTTATTGTTATAGTACTCTTATCATTAAAATATTCTACACAAGAATATCAAGTAGAATTTTAGGTTCTCACGGCGGTGAGTACTGAGATGGCTGTCTTCTGGTAGTGTCGTGTAGTTTAGAAAAGTGTACTAACGTTTCAGAGGTCGTTGCTGCCCCCATCATCAAGGCAATGAACATTTTTACGCCCCTTGGTAACTCGGCACACATCCAGCCTGTAGTCGAGTTCCTCCCAGACACGTTGCAGCATATCATGATCGACTGCTGCAATGGCTGCTGTGATACGTGCACGCAAATCAAACAAGGTCTGTGGTAAGGATGGCACGAAAACTATCTTTGACGAACCCCCACAGAAAAATAAATCACAGGGCGTCAGGTCCGGTGAACGTGGAAATCCAGGACACAAAACGCTCCCGTCTTCGATGGCAGCCATTTTCTCTCATATCGCCCCTGGCGGCGAACAGTGTTACTACGCGGCCGCGAAGTGTGCGAACATAAACTTGGAGAGTTTCTCTTTCCATCGGTACTAATTTTGTGCATCTGAATTTCATTAAACGTGAGAAATTCTCATTAATGTGCAGAAACAAACCCCAGGCTGAGCTTCATGATCTAGTGGTTGCTTACCTCGCTTCGCATTCCTGAGACCCCGCATTCGAATACCAGTCTCGAGACCCGTTTCTTATTTGCTGAAGTGAGTTCTTATCATTGTTAATTCTCTCGCCCCTTCATGCAAATTCTGTAATTCTTACCGTCTCACTTTTCATAATCACTCTTCTGTTCTTCTCATACGCTATGCAAGTTTTGGATGACGCAGCGTTGTTCAACAACAAGCAAGTTCAGGGTTGTTAAACTGCGTTCAAAGCTCGCTGATCGCGTGGCGTTTGTTGTGTGTGAAGTCCCAAATTAGACTTCACACAGCGGAAAGTTGCAATCCGGACAGGTAGCCAAGTTGCACGGGGTTTGGCATGTAAAAATTGATAGGCATTAAATATTGGCAATTTGCCAGTTGTGAGAGGTGGTTATCTTTACTATTTCTTCTGTACCAACTACGTCAAAATCTAGTGAACTCATTGACCAATTTTTAACAAACGAGGAATTACTGTTATCCGTGAAGATTCCATCCTTTTTAATCTGCTCTGAGCAATTTCGAGAAGTTTCAGCGAACATTAGCAGCACTTGTTTCTTCTTTTCTAATATCGATATATATTTGCGACACTATTATAGTGTGCGAACTAGTAAGTACAATTGTCTACAGCATTATTATTTCAACAGTCAAGTGCCACACAAAATTGACATTTTTTGTTGTATGTCTCTCTTTTATAGCTTCAGTATTGATTTTTTTGTGAAATCCATTGCGACTTTCTTACCTGATATTTCAAGTTCTCACGGCGGCAAGTAAGAAAATGAATGTCTTCTGGAAGGTTGCTTCGCATACTCCATTATCAGTGCGATCGCAGTAAGCACCTCTGAAACGTCGGTAAACGTCTACCAGACTACACGGCACAACGTCCCGGAAGACAATTTTCTTGTTTGTTTCTTAATTTATTAAACGAACTTCTTTCATCTTCATCGGCTAAGTAACGAAGAGATGTACGATGATTTGTAAATGAAGAATGGGAAAACAGATAGAACAAGACGGCCGTGGTCTACGAGGTAGGTAGGCCATGAATTTGCCTATAATTTCTGAGGACTAAATCCATAGAAAGGCGTCCATCTTGAGAACCTAACAGTCGCTCAGCTTTAAAATATCCCCCTAATTAATTATATAATCATTACTGTCTTCATAGGAGCGCAACTTTATACCTTATCCTGAGTAATATGATTTCAGTTCATAATCTAGCAGCCTATTTCTTCAATATCCGTGTTAATATTATCCTCCATCTGCGCCATGGTTTCCGAAGTAGTTTGGAAAATACCACGAAAATATTGTCAGGTTAATCAGCCATCGGGTTAAGCATTAAACCTGGGTCTTCCCAAATACGAATCCTGACACCTGAACATTCATCTGGTAGAATTGTTCTAGGACAGAATCAATCTATTTCTGTATTCTGGGATAGTTGCATTAATGTTTGTTACTTTTAAGCCCAGAGCTTATTTCAGTATATGCGCCATCTCCTTTAGGAATTAGTAACGTTTCGTTTGTCTTTTTTAATGCGTTTCGTATGATTCTCAGAATAAACAACGATAATTTTCTTGAACATCATTGATTAGATGATTTGTAATGGAGACGTGTTGTGTTTTATGGACGAATTCTGTAACATTGTTTAGGCGAACTTCGGCTTCAACGTTCTAATTTATCTCTAATAGCTTTAATACTTTCTCGTCTGAGTGTAACTCGCCCTTAGGATCCTGGAAACATATTTAATACTCTTCAGTATTTCTTATGTTGTTTTCTATTTTCGAAATTTCATCCATGTAAACGGACAGGCTTAAGTCAATTCCTCATTACATTTTGTTATAGTATCAGTAGACATACCTTGAATTTTTTTGTGATTTAACATAAATACGCTTTTAGACAGAATTTAAATATCTGAAGCTTGACGTGCCCCAGATAATAAAATCTGCTGTTGTGATACGATGATGGTACCTCTTCAGAATAACAGAAGTCGGTCCAAAGATGTAAATCTAATCCAGATGCCCGTTGCTATCTTGATTTCATGACCTACCTAATAATATCGGCAAGTGCTGTGTGACGGAGAATGCAGTGAGTGTAACCCTGGCAACAGCCAAGATGCTGGTGGGTGTCAGGCGCGACGCTGCTGACGTGATGCTCCAAGTTCCGTACCCTGAATGTTTATTTGGCTCGTCACGATGTTGTCTTGATCTTGGGCTAGGTCAGTAACTACGCCGTTCTAGTAATTTTCCCTGCATAGGTGAGCAGTAGCAACAGAAATTGATTGCATGTGTGCGGACGTAAGTATAGCTAAGACAACACAATGATTGGCTGTAGGACAATAAACTGGGAGTTTGAGCCCCGGGAAGACGGTGAGATCCCCCTGATGATGGAGGCAGTTAGCATATTTGAAACGTCGGCCAACTTCTACGAGACTACAGCGCGCAATATCCAAGAAGGCTGCCGTCGTGTTAATAATATTCGCCGTGAGAACCCGAAGTCTCAAAAACAAAAGCCATTTTCTTGTGCGAAATCAGAAGGAAGTCTACCACTACCGCTTCTTCTTCTTCTTCTTCTTTTTCTTCTTCTTCTTCTTATTATTATTATTCTGCTAATTTTCTTCATGTGCCATGATACCGTAGCGAGCCAACGATATAGAAGTAGAAGCCGCATGCTAAAAACTAAATATATGGCACCAACTAAGTGTAATTTATTACGTAAAAAAAATGTTCTAACATTTCTATCTCCTGGTCTAGTAACTCTGGCTTCATAGACAGGTTTTCTAGTTTGGTCTTAGAAACTGAGGGACTAAGTGTAGTTCGTCATCGACGAAGTTAATTGCTTTATTAAATTCACTTGCGGTATCCACTGCTGTCCGCACAACATCAGTTTTGTTTTTGGGATGGGTGGGTTAAATGAAGAAGCTACCTCATATGGTAATTATATGCACTCTGCATAACTGCCCGTCTCAGTCTGGGAGCGGTGGCGAAAAGAAGCCTCCCTGCCTCTGCCAGAAATCGAACCTTAGTCGATCAACCTCTAGCCAGTTAAGTTATAAAGTGACTGATTTATACCGGCTTGTATAAGCGTTCAGATAGCGTATAAATATCAGAAATAGGTATCTTACTTCTTCATATTCTTCCTCACTTTCTCATTTTTTCCTTCTGTTTTCTGTTTATGTGTCCATTATTTTCTACCCTTTCTCTCCTGTTTTTCCTCCTACACCTTTCTCATATCCTCATCTCTCCATTCTCTTGAAGTTGTGGTGTTTCCTTTTTAGCTGACCAGGAAAATTATTAATGTTCAAAACTTGCGTCTTCGTACAGTAGGCATACGTATAATTTTATGTCCTTAGTGCACAACACTATCTTAGATTAAGTAAACTTATTTCTTGTAGCAGACTCCTTTCTGATAACGTTATAGTCAATCAGCTGGTCAACGTATTGTTCGTCACGCTGCTATAAAGAAGTCACCCGTGGATCCCTAGCCAGATAAAACCATTCTGCACTATTACATCTATTTATTAAAGATATATCCCATTTAATCTTGGGTCTACAAATATGTCTGTCTCCATCAATTTTTCGGATCAAAATTTTCCAGACTTGCACGTTTGTGTGTCCAAGATCTGAAAGAGTCAGATAGATCCAGGTCTTTAGGGTAGGACAGACAGAATACGTACCTATTACTTAATTTGAAGAAGAATAAGGGACGATTCTGATATAAAAAAGAAGACGGTCACACTCTCAGTTTTACCTAAACATTCTTAAGACATTTACAAGTGGATGACGTCACGATTTCGTTGTCTTGATTCTTCCTGGTGAATGCCAAAATGTGAGGATCTATCTTAAAGTATAACAGCATTGTTTCCTACTCAGATTTGGCCACCTTAAAATTATTTTCATACTAGCACACGACGTAACCCCAACGCAACAATTTCTGTGGAAGTGTGGCGCATGTCGACATCAGTCAGGGCCTTTAAAAGCCGACTGTCGGTTAATCAGGCCAAATATAAACGTAAGAAAATGTCAAATTTGAAGCTTTTGCGTTAAGTCTGTAATACGGATACTAGCCAAATAGTCCGGGCTGGCGACATTACAGGGACATTCATTTGGAGCAGACCGAGCTAATTAATAAGGAATTTTCGAGACCTCGCACCTGAAAGTAGCTATTTACAAGTTTATAGTTAGTGGGGGGGGGGGGGGGTTG